ATACAAACATGATTACCTGTGTTATGGCAACACCTGTAAAACCATAACTATTTTTATCATTGGTGTACAAAGTAAAAGTCCTTGCCCTATAGATCTTAACTGAGAAGATAAAACGATGCAAAGAGTGGAAATAACAAACAAAGAACAAATATGGGATTAATTACACAGATAGAGATGGGAGTGTTTTGATAGGGAACTGGCAGGATTTTCAGCTTTATCTGCTCAATGGGATTTTTTTGTGTGTGTTTTGGTGTGTTTTTACCCAGCAGCAGGCAACGCAATACCAAACTCTACTGAAGACACAGCCCAGTGCAGATGCTGTTGTGAAACACCTCGTGGAGGTAAACCCCAGGTGGGGGCTACAGAGTGACTCCACTTAACTCCATCGGGGTAAAGGTTTCCAGGTTCCACTAAAAGCACAAAAAAAAGAGACTAATTAATAACGATGTATAAATAGCATCTTTTTGTTTCTTGAAGACAAGGCATGTTGAGGAACATCAGCTCGGAGAAAACAGAACCTCAGCAACAGAGAAGGCGCCAGTGCAACCCCGCCATTTCAGTAAGAGCAGAGGAAACAGGAGGCTCAAACATGAGATGCAGTGGGCAGTGATCCCGTCTCTGCAAAAACCAAAGGTAAAATCACTAGTGTATCATTATTTATGGATTCACACACTCGTGACAAGAAATGGACCTGCTAACGTAATGTTGTAAAACTACAGTTTTGGTTAAGGAAAAGGGTAAAATTATACACCTGCCTCAGTGAAAGATAACGGACTTCCAACAACAGAAAGAAGGAAAGGATTGTACCGTGTCTGTCTAACCTTTTGCACTCTGACTCCATTTCCTGATAGTGCCACCAGTGGGACAGAGAAGCTAATAAATACCTAGTCCAACATCATTTGTTGAGGCAGAAGCTTTACCTGGACTGGCAGTGGAAATAATGTGTGTGTACAACCGACAACGCTGGACAAATACGGCCAGGAATGTGCACTCACCTCATGGTGGCTTTCAAAAATTCTCACAATTATCCAGGAATCAGAAAAGAATTCTCAATTTTTCATTCTCAATGTCTCAATTGCTTTGAAAGTGAACACTACCCTCATTTGCAGTGTTGGGAGACACTTCTCTGAACTGAAATAGACCAGGTTTTTTTACCTATTTAAGATGGGAGATGGGGAAAGGCTATTTTTGGAAAAGCACAGCACAATCTTACAAAGGTTAAGTATCGGTAACCAAAGTAGCCCATCTCCCAGTCCTCTTTCTTTTGGAACAGATGTCACACAGAAAACATCCAAGCAGGTGGTTTCATGAGCCGGGAGAAAGGGGGAAGGAGAGGAGGGTGCAGGGTGACTGGGAGGTCCCTGGAGGTATTTAAGAAACGTGTAGACATGGCTCTTCAGGGCATGCTCTAGTGCCCAAGATTATTGGTTTGTGGTGGGATGTTGTGTGGGTGGGTGATGGTTTTGGTTTGGTTGTTGTTGTTGTGTGTTTAGGTGGTGGGTGCTTTTTGTTTTGTTTGTTTGTTTGTTTTTTTGTGGTTGGACTCGATGATCTCTGAGGTCCCTTCCAACCACTACGATTCTGTGATTCTGTGATTCTGGGAGGGCTGCGCCAGCCCCCTGGGATGGCAGGAGCCTCCCTGCGTGCCCCCGAGATGTTATGTCTCAGGCCAGGGCTCCCCCTCACAAGGGCCATTTGGCAGCGACGGGGGGTGCACGTCAGAGGCAGACTCCAAAAGGCCCCCAGATGTCTGGCGGTGAGTTAATTGTCCTGGGTGATGACAGCTTCACAAGGCTTTTGTCTGATCAAAGTGAATGCACCTACTGTGGGAAGGCAGCTGGAGGTAACCAGATCAACACTTACCTAGAAAGCTACATTTTGAAGTTTTAGTGATTTTCAGATAGCATTTCAGCACGCTGAGCCTATTATGTCATGAGGGTTAAGCCTATTAGTTCATCAATGACATGAAAGACTAGAATCGAGGCAGCAAGAAAACACCATCAGAGCCCCAGCCACCTGCAGCCAACCTGCTCTCTTGGCCTGTTCCGCCATTTCACAGCCTTTTTGGAGGTTGCAGACTGCGAACAAGGCACCAGGTGCTGCTGGGCTTCTCGGATGGGAGCTGCTTGCCCTGGTGCCTTTGCATTTGCTTAGGACCAGATGCTGGAACGGGTCCAGAGGGGGGCCGTGAAGATGATCCCAAGGGCTGGAGCAGCTCTCCTATGAAGACAGGCTGAGAGAGAGTTGGGGTTGCTCAGCCTGGAGAGGAGAAGGCTCTGGGGAGACCTTATAGCACTGTGGGTTCAGTTAAAGTTCACTTGCAGAGCTAAGATTTACGTGCACTACGCGCAGCATCGGGAGCTACGGAGTGTGCCAGTGAAACATCAAGTGACCTTGAGAGCAAGGGAGGGAAGAGAAACACGAGTTTCGCATCCTGAAGCACATCCTGACCAAAAAAAAAAACAGAACAAAGCCTGGGAACTGAAAGTTGTCTTGGTAGCAGAATACCTATTATTGTGATAAGATCAGTAGAATGTAAAAATCATTCGTAAGCCCGTGATTGGGCACTACTAGGGGAGTGGGTTTTGTGTCTCTTGGCGTATGTAAGTTTCTCTGTGTAGCAATAAAGTAGATTCATTTACTGCACGATCAGCGAGCCCGTGATTTCTTCATATGCCACATAGCACCTTCCAGTACCCGAAGGGGGCTACAGGAGGAGTGGAGAGGGACTCTTTATCATGGAGTGCAGTGATAGGGTGAAGGATAATGGTTTTAAATTGAAAGAGGGGAGATTTAGACTCTAATCTAAATTATTAGAAATAAATTCTTTCCTGTGAGGGTGGTGAGGCACTGGAACAGGTTGCCCAGAGAAGCTGTGGATGCCCCATCCCTGGAAGTGTTCAAGACCAGGCTGGACAGGGCTTTGAGAGGCAATTCCTTTAGGCTCCTTTATATATATATTCACAAGCAATCCACTGTAACAGTTCAGAGATTTAATCCTTTGCTTTACAGAGCAAGCACATCAGTTACAGGTTCCTCATACCAAGCAGATTTAAGTAGCTTCAGGAAACGTCATGCAGACTGTTGGCAAAAAAAGTTGGTAAGGTGGGAATCAGAAGAGGAGGTGAAAAGAGGAGGTAAAAGCCGTTGTGTGCTCAAGAGATGACATTTTAACATCTTTAGATCACTTTTTTTTTCATCACCCTATAGCACCTGCAAAATACTTTTTACTTAGAGTCAAGCATTAGCAATTCATTAAAGACTAAGTAGAACGTGGTGATACACTCGCATCACTGGTAGGTGGATCAGAGAATCTGGGACCCTGACAGCCTGGTGCAAACCGTCATGAAATCTTTGCAATTAAACTTTGAAATTCACAGCTCTTTACGTTTTATTTCTTTTGAATATGAAATTGCTTGCTTAAAATGTTGCTAAGATGGACAAACCACTGCTCTGTAGGCATGTGGACTTTGGTGTTGAGTAGAAAAACGGCTCTTTCCAAATGGAAACAGGGTGATTATTTTGGCATGCAATTGTAAAACCCAAAGAAATGAACAAACCATTTCTGCATGCTCTGACTGCAAACATGCCAGAGACCCTCAGCAGAACATAAGGAGGAACTTCTTTACTTTGAGGGTGGCAGAGCACTGGAAGAGGCTGCCCAGGGAGGTGGTGGAGTCTCCTTCTCTGGAGACATTCCAAACCTGCCTGTACATGTTCCTGTGTGACTTGCTCTGGGTGGACCTGCATTGGCAGGGGGGTTGGATGAGATGATCTCCGGAGGCCCCTTCCAACCCCATGTGATTCTGTAAAATGCGAATGAAGCAAGAACTAGGACAGAGCAAAGTCAAGTGCACATAAATGCTCGATATTTTATTGAAAAGCTGTGCCGAATTAGCCGTGAGTCCTCTTCCAAAGGCTTCAGAGGGAGATACTCCTCATTAGGATGGGGGGCTTTGCCAGCTGAGCCGTGTTGGGTCCCTGGCCCCATGTTTTCCACATCACTGGAGAGGGCAGAGTCAGAAGAGGACATGTAGTCTGGGGGTCCTGCCCTAACCCAGCTCATGCCGGATGGGTGCCAGCCTCCTGCCACCATCCCCAGGCAGCCAGTCACTGTGGGAATACCTCGCCAGGAGCCACAGTGTCCCCAAAACATCACGCGTGGGCAAAGAGCAGTGAAAAGCCACGCAGGTGGCAAAGCTCTGGAGATCTTCATGCAGCAGGACGATGCATGAGCGGTGGGATCCCAACTCCGAGGCCCCCGGCCAGATCAACAGGGACACTGTGGTTGCCTTTCCAGCACCGGTACGCACAGAGGGCTTGGCTACTTTCTCACAAAAGCTTGTTGGTTCAACATCTTAAGACCTTTAAGAGCCTCCTGCTGCTTTCTCTCTGAGGTCAAGTCTCTGGAAGGGTAAAACCCCTCTTGGGGTAATCCTGGGGGGGGGGAAGGAGGAGGGGGGTAGCTCCACTGCAGCCCGACCCTGCTGTGGAGGGCGAGGGTGGCAGACGGGACCAGGATCAGGACCGGGACCGGCCCCTGAGGCGTTGAGGCCGAGGGCGCCATTTCGAGCTCGCGACCCCGCCGGCGGGGGGCGCCATTTGCTGCCCCTTGCTCCCCGGCCTCTCTCCCGCACCCCCTCCTCAAGATGGAAGTGCGGCGCCTCCTCGCCCGGCTGCCGGCAGGAAGCCCCCGCGCTACCTCCGGGGATGGAAGTCAAACAAGCCCCATGTCCCCTTCTAGTTGGGGGGGCCGCTTCCCACACCTCTCCTCCCTTCCTCCCGGCGTCGCCGCCGCTGCCCGCAGGTGCGGCTCCCTTCCGCTGCGGCGGGCTCAGGCGCTGGGGCGGTGCGTGTTGGGGAGGAGGGAAGGGAAGGGAGAGGGGAGGGGGGTCTCTGGGCAGCGATCCTGCGCGGAACGCGGCGGCCGCCCCCGGGAGGTGCGCGGGGGGACGGCGCCTGCTCCTGAGTCAGCAGCTGTGAGGCGGCGGGCGGCACCTCGCCGCCCGGCCCGGCCCCGCCGACTACCCCCCCACACACACCCCCTTCCGTCCCCCCCTCAGCACCGCGCCGGCTCCCGGCCCCGAGCGACCGCGGGAGGAAGGGGGGCTCCGCCGGCCCCTGCCCGCCGCCGGCAGGTAGGCTGGTCTCCGCGGCCTGGGCGCGGCTGTAGGTGCCGGTGGGGAAAGAGGGTGGAAGAGGGAGTCGGCGCTGCCCAGCTCCCCCCTTGGGCGGGGGGTAACTCCCCGGAGAGAGGCCGGGGTCTGCGGGGAAGCGGGGGCTCCGGGGGAGGAGGAGGGAGCGGGGGCGGCAGGGCTATGGGCGTCGTGCTGAAAAGGGACCCCTCCGTCCCTTCTTCGGGGAGTTGTGTCTCCTTCTCCCGTCTGCCTGTGGCAAAATATGTGTGTGTGTGTGTGTGTGTGTGTGTGTGTGTGCAACCTGTGAGGCCGGGAGTGTGGGGAGAAACATCAGTGGGCTGCCTTGGGGCGGTGCATGTGTGTCCTGCCATTTAATTTGCAGGTGGATTTATTTCTATGTGTGTATAAAATATATATATATATTTGTGTGTGAAGGATCAGGCGGTTTTGATGGGGTGTTTCCTAAGTGTGCATGTGTATTTCGCTGTGTCTGATCTGAGCTCAGAAATCACAGCTTTACATTGTCCTCCCCGTGCCTGTGTTTATGTACATATTGATATTTACGTAGCCAGCGAATGTAAGAATACTACTCTTGCCAAGTTGTTCTCCAGCTTTTTATCAAAGCGTGTGTCTCTTCCAACCTAGACGATTCTATGATTCTAAACCTGTGTTTATGTGTGACCGGTGAGCACGGTGCTGGTGTGCGGTGTGTGAGATGCTTTGTCAGATTGCCTTCTGAGCAGCAGGGCTTAAACAGAAGGAAACACTGATTTCTGTGTGATTTCTGTATCGCTGCAGTTTTGGGCGCTGTGTTGCAAATGCTGTACAAAACCAGCAGACACTTGCATCAATCCCCCAACCCCCTTTTGGGAGCCTGTCACAGGTGACCTGTGAATAGTCAGATAGTTGAGGGAACAGGATGAAGCACAAGCTGTTTTGCCCTCTGTTCCTCCTGCTCCTTTGGTGCTGTAGGAGCACGCTTGTGTTCCTCATGCTGGCTGCGTGACGAGATAGCAGAGCTGATACAGGATGTACTGGCTTTTAAACTCTTTGGGGTAGGTTCTGTATCAATCTTTGCCTTTAAAGTATCTTGTAGTAGGAGGCTGATCCTCAGCCGTGCAACTCTAATAGATGTTTGTTTTGTTTAGTTATCTGCTCCTTGTATTTGTCAAGGTTGTCTGTTGCAGTTGATATTTCACAATTAGGCATTGTCTTGAGCCAAATCTGAATCGTTAAAAACCTGGCATGATACAAACTGAATAAGTGATACTGCCTGTACTTATTCTGGTAGCTTAGGTGATGGTAGTTGAGCTGCTCAGCAAGTTGCACATCAAGTTGTGAGTGATGCAGGTAGGATGAGGGTGTACGTGTGCAAGCTTCGTGGGCTGATGCTTTTGACTTAAGCACAAGGCAGTGGAAAACACAGTGTAGCCTGGCTTTTATGTTGTTGAAGCTAATCGGAGTTACGGTCGTGGTCTGTAGAGGAGGCTGTGCTCCAGGAATGCTTGCCCAGTTTAATCTTTCCACACTTTTTCCTTCAGTACTGTGGTGGAGGGCTGGAGTTGCATTTCTGCAGCCTTATGAAAGCTTCAGGTTCCACAGAAAACACAAGCAAATACAAATGTGACGTCTTCACTAGTTGCCTATCAGTGAGCTGCAGTTCTGTCTGTTCTAATGAGCTGCATGGAGTGAAGAAGCTTGAGATGACCTGGAGATGCTGTAGTGTATTTCAGCTTTGCATACCCAGTGGCTCTCACTGTGTTTATTTTGGATGCCAATTTCAATGGTGTGGAGATGGGGAGTTTCCATGGTCAGGTTTCTGAACACTGCTAGTGAAATCTCCAGCTGGAATGCTTTAAACCCAGCTGTTTCCCTCTCCTCCCCACGTGTGCAGACATGGTGTATGTTTCAGGTGGAACCCTTTAGTATGTTTCCAGCTGAACCTTTTGTCATGCTGAATAAAGTAGGCTTGCTGTGGGCTTCTTCACACACTGGTTGTACCAACTTGGCTTACAGATCCTTTCTTTAAGAAAACATGGGATGATGCTTTATGTTTGCTGGTTTTGGTAGTGGTACTACATGTATATATCCCTAGTAGGAAATTGACGATTAAAGGTGGAGCTGTGATCAAGTACTCTGTACCCAGCAGTCTTCAATTTCAGCGCTGTAGAGGAAGCACAGAACCACTGTAATGGATATAGTACCCACGGGGAGAAATCCTTCCTATTGTCAGGCAGTTAGTTTTCAATTTCTGTCACAAAGTGTCTTTCTGTACGAATTTATAATCTAATTTAACTGCAGATATAGTTGCTTTTCCATTTCAGTACCTAATCTTTTTCTGAGTGGTGCCAGGGTATGACTGTTGAGTTTTTTTCAGGATAATGTGACTTTGTACTGAGCAGATAGGTATTCAGTCAAATCCAGTTGGAGCTAATATGAATGCTGTTAGCCTGATGCCAGTTTTCTGCTAGTTAACCTTGATGAAGGGGCAGTTTGGTGGTTATTTCCTGTCCTAATGTGTTTTCTTTGATAAATCTGTCCCCTGTACAGTTTATTAACTCCTCTGCACGTTACAAAGAGTTCCAACTGTTAAATGTAGATAGTTTTTAAAGAAACAGAATGTGCTTAGTCATCTGAGGTGGGGCTCCAGAGGTTTGCAATTTAGGGGGTATGTGTGCACACATGTGCTTTATCTGTTTATAACGAGCAAGCAGTTTTCTGAACAGCAAAGTTAATTCAGATCTCTGTGAATTTGTGTCTTGAGATCAGTCAAAACAAGGATTTTTTCCATTGTCTTTGCATGTGCCTCTACATTTTTTCCATGAAGTACCCTCTTTCCACAGGCTGCACTGATGGTGTGACACGTGGGCTACCATTTTCAATTATGGAAATTGGATGACTCTTTTTTTTGGGTGGGCCAGTATGAGATCAAATTGCAATTTTGCCTTCTCTGGTTGGCTGTTTTTACAGCTGGTAATCTGTTCTTCTCTGATTGAAATCAGCCGATGGCCTAAAGGGTACTGTAAGTGAAAAAAAGGATCTATTTTCACAGGAATCAAGTAAGCTTTTTGTCTGCAGGGGACCAGACCAACAATGAATGTAAAACTTGGCGTGGTCATGAAAGTGGAAAGACTTTCCCCTCCTCTCCTTTCTTAGCCAAGAAAATGTACTAATTTCTCTGCTCCTACAGTGACACACAAGATTTCAAGTCTACAAATGGATGTGTAGCATCCAACTACATTGAGAGTATTTTCTTGAAGGTGATAAAATAGCAAGACACAAATGGAAAGAGTGTTTATGTACTTCACTTGTAAGATTTTGGCTTTTCTGGCTATCTACTGTTGTACTCATGCCACCTCATGCGTGATTTCTTTGTGGAGTGCATGTGATTGTATCTCAGGCAGTGGCTGGGTGTTCAGTACTCTCATCTCAAAAATGGTCAATTAGCTTTGTTAGCATTAGCACTAACGTTGCTTGAGCCAATCAATCTGTGAACAGCCCTTGAAGGCCATCATCAATTAGCATAAACATCATAAACATCACTTGTGTAACTTCTAAGTCTGGTTTTGTAACACCATAGTCTTTTAATGCAAAAATATTCTCTAAAATCCCAGCATATCTGTTTCACTTCAAGTATCAGACTGTTCTTTCTTCTATTCTACAGTGTATTGTTAATTAATGAAGGTAATACCAATCACTTGAAGCCCATAAAACAGGTTTGCTTTTCATTTTAAGTGAATTGGGTTCCATAGAACTTTTGTAGTAACATTTACATTGTAATATAGTAGTTTGGCATTGTCTTCCTTTACAATGTTTGCATTGTAAGGTTGAAGTAAAGTATAGTAATTGATTAAATTGCAACAATTCAACTTGCAGTGGACAATAAATAACACAGAAGCTTTTGCTACCCTTTCTGTAGTTGGTGTTGCTTTGGCTGAAGTGGTAAACTTTTGTTGTTTCAAGACAACCTCATGTTCTGGGTTGCAGCTGACCTCTACGTTTTGGAGGTAGTGAGTGTCTGCAGTTTCCTTTGAACTGAGGTCAGTGTCCAGAGTCCCTGCTTAGTATATTTATAAACTTGGGTCCTCTGAATCTGCAAATAGTAGCTCTGATGCTTAGGCAGAAGTCAAGTTGCAGGAGCTGATACTTTTTAAAAAGTATTATATATTAAATAGCAGTATTAACAATTTCAAGGGTTCACCTGTCATAAATGAAATCTCCTAAATCCTGACACTGACTTAAATGGGGTCACAACTTTGTCCCATGAAGTTTTTCTTAATTAAAAAAAAAAAAAAAAGTCAGTATTTGAAGTCTTGACAACCTGTGAACGACTCTGAATCTTGCTTGTGGGTTTAAATTTTAGGGCTTTCTCTGCAGCAAAGAGAGAGAGAGATTTTTTTTTTTTCTACTGAAGGTTGAGACTTTTTCAAGTTTTATTCTAGTTCAGGAAATGGCACTTAAGGAAAAATTCTCAAAATCGAAAGAACTGCAGTACAACAACGGTGAATCAATTAATAGTTCCTTTTTGGTTTTGAGGGCTTATATCTAAGTGGAGAAAATATTTGTAACTTTCAACACAGTGCTAATAGCAAAGCTTTTATTGTAGTTTTAGTGTAGTCATTTTTGACCTTGAACAAGTGCAAAATAAATAAATTCTTGTGTTCTGTGCACTTAAACTATCTATGTGAGTCTCTTCCATTTAACTCTCCTTAGAATTTACTCGGGTTTCTCCAGAAGAATCAGCCCTCGCCTGCAAATCATATCTCTGCCCCAAAAGGATGTCTCGGTGTCTAGTCGGAGCCTGCTGTGCAGTGCAGCTTGCAACCTGTATTTGTTCCTTTCTGTCATAATGACACTTGAACTTGAGACCTCACAACTTTGTCACACCAGCCTTCAGTCAGATGTTGGACATTAACAACTTTAAGCTCTGCAGGCTTGAAAAAAGATTCGTACCACTGTTTTTTCTGTGCGTCTATGTCTCCTCCTTCCAGGCAGTCTGC